ATAAAAGACTTATCTCGGAAATGATACACATCAAGGAACAAAGCATGGTATAAATAATAACACAGACACCGAATTGCTTAACAACGCGTATTTCGACATTCTAGAAGAAATATCGAATTTTTAGACTTATGTAAATGTTTATTTTGTGAGATCTGACACCTATTTATTCGACTTTTTAAAAGACTAGACAACAGTCAAGTACTAACAATAAAGCCAACAAACAATTAGAAGCATGTCATCTCAAGTTATTCGGAACAATTTGTAAGCATAAAGGTTCAATATTTTAGTATTTAGTTTAATTTATAATTTTTAATCTTTTTCACATACACATTAGTGGAATCCTATTTTACAATTGAATAAATTCTTTAAATTCAGTTAACAAATATCAAATAATTTGGAGAGGATGAACATAATCATTGCCAGATCGAGGGACTTTCGTCAAATAACGATAAGTGGTTCGTTTGGAGTAATGTATAAGTGTCACTCCGAGTTTTATTAATAATTCTAATATATTTTATGAATAACCGGACGAATCATTCTGCTTCTAATTGGGTTCTTACTTTGTTGAACTATTTTAATGGTTTTAATTCATTGTAAATTTATTTTGCGTTTTAACTATGACTTAACTATATAACTTATTTTGACTATGTATTGCGGATTTTTTATTAGAATTTTATGTATTTATTTATTATCGTTATTTATTATCACTATTTTTTTGCGCACTGAAGAGGAGCAAGTAGAGCTCGAAACGTTTGTGTAATTTTTATTTCAAATAAGAATTTTCTTCTCAATAATAAAATAATATCGTATTGCTCGTTACACATGGCCTTAATTTAATAATTTATCATTGTTTATACAGAGTAGTGTCAACCTATGACACTATTAATCTGAACGGACAGTTTTCTTTATGGACTTTAGGCAAGCCATATGCCTTGGGGAGAGTTCCATCAGTAAACAACAAAAGTCTGTATTCATTAGTTGAAATAAACTTAGAATTTTTCCAACAAACTAACAAGTCATGAAGACTGTTTATCAATTTTATAAAGACATTTAGACTTTGGTGATTTTAATTTTGCTTTTTGTACTGCGCTGAAAAAGATCCGAAAAATTGGATCGAAACGTTTGCTTTCTCATTAGTTTTAACTTTCGAGTTTATTTTTATAATTTTAGATTAATTTAAACTTTATTGTTTATATCAGTACATATTGATTAAATGTAATAAACTAGTTTTTATAACCGTAATATTACTTCTGCTCTTATTAGCCTTTTATATGTGTAATACTTTATTTGAATTAAAGAGCATTTAATTAGTATATTGTTTATCACACGTAAACTGAAATAATGCGTTCGACATATTTTTCATTTTTTATGTATATTGAAATTTGATTTGGTTTTGAAACGGTAAAGTTATTAAAACGATGGATTAAGATTCGGAAAATTATTATTACTAACAGACTTAAAATCAAATTTTATCGTAACTGTATGAATAATGGAATATTTCCTACACACATTAACAGCTTACTTAATAAATATAAGATCGACTTTACCAACCAAAAATCGAGACATAATTTTTGCGTTCAAAATTATTATTTTTTCAAAGACTATTAAGAATAGAACTTAGAGATGTATATATGTCTACTAGAACGGCTCAAAATCAAAATAGACTTTCAATAGATTTTTATAATAACATTCCGATTCACGTTTGCAACGAATTTTTTAATAGACAAAGTGGTCCGCTATATACTCATTTTTTAAAAGAAAATGAAAGATACAATAAAAAATTTAATTTCTTACTACAGAAAAAATTAAACATTCGTGACATAAAACCGATACACTATACTTATCAATATAATAATTCAGATTCAAAACATAAGCTATCAATACAATCATGTCCTAATTATGTTTCTTTTAATAATAACGAAGTAACGCGGAACACCTTGGATAAAATAACGGACGTTAGAATAGATCCTGCTTCTTTCAATAATACATGTCAAGATTTAAAACAGTTGAAAGATAAATGGTTTATCAATAAATCTTCAATTAATATTCCGGACGATATCCAATGTTTTTTACAGTTGGGGAGTATATTAGTTTACTTTTTGACAACAGAACTAATTTAACGATTGAGTTTGTTAAGAACATTGAAAATAATATTAGAAAATTACCGGTTAGAGAACGTACAATTATAAGAAATCGAACAAGCAATGTGATAAAATCTATTTTGACTTATTCTTATCCTACGAATGAAGCAAATAATACGCTTTTACAATTAAATCACATTACTAAAAATTTCTTAAAAGAAAATAAAAATCTTATCCTTACACGTGTGGTTAAAGGAAATATAACGGTAGCGTTGGATAAAGATAAATATATACAAAGTATTGAAGACTTGTTGAAAGATAATAATACATATACGTTGGTCTGTTTGCGCGAACGCGTGAAGGAGAGCGCGTAATTGAAGGCCGAAAGAAATTATTCACTTTTAATAATTAACACAGAATTTACTTTCACAATTTAAACGATACAGTGATTTTACAAAGTTCCAATAGATAAGTTGAGTTCGATTTCCAAGTGAGTGTGCGGTAATAATTGCTGTAACAATTGCGGTAATAATTGCGTATACTGAGACTCGAAAGACTAGCCGCCCAATTTTGGTGGGCGCTTCTTTTATCGGTGCGGTAATGAAGCCCCACTAATTTTTCTTCACCAATTAATTTCGGTTATTTAAAAATGTTCGAAGGTGACGCAAGGGCGCTTGTCTTTATTGGCGGCCCCGTAATTTACGCGACACAAGCACGCACCTGACATGCGCGAAATGCTCGATAGCGAGATCGATTGGCTTTCGGAAGCCACGTGATCGAACGGCGCATGTCTATTACATCGATAATCAATGCAGTGATCGTTGCTTTCGGTTAAGCAATGTTGTTGTTATTGACAGCTTGTTAAAATAATCCTGATTTATTGCCTACTTGTTTATATCGGGCGAGCCTTTTTTCCGCGGTTTTTTCGCATATTCATCGGAAGAAAATATCGATTTTTAGACAGAAAAATACAGACTGAAATAATTATATTAATTTCTTCTCAATTTCGAACATCCCGCCCGCCTTGTCACCCGCTGACAATAAGTCGCTATGAATGTTCGATCGCGATTGATTGTGGGGTAGGCGCGCGCCGGCGCGGCGAGATACACGTGATTATCGCGTGGAATGTCGCTCGATCAGCTGAAACGATGAACACGTGTTGACAGTGTGGTGCGATCAGCTGAGAATAGTGACACGCGGTTTCGATGTGAAATAATGCGTGTGAATGTGAACAGTGGTTACAGTGCGTATGTGATGTGTCGTGTATTTCTGTCTATGCGTTGCGTGTCGTTACGTCCGTTGTGAAGTCGGGAAGTAAGACGATTTTTACGAGCGGACGCACGAGCTCGGAGGTCGCGGTTCGAACGGTGACCACGCGTACGATCCCGTCGTCGCCGGGATGCAGTTTTGTGATCCGGGCGAGAGGCCATCGGTTTGGAGGCGAAATCTCGGAGCGCACAAGGCAGAGTGCTCCGATGTGAGGTGTGGTATCGACCTTCAACCATTTAGGTCGTGAGATGAGTCCATGGATGTACTCTCCCGACCATCTTTGCCAAAAGTGATCTCGCATCGCCTGGAGATGATGCCATCGTGATGCTGCGGATCCACTGGTGTCCTCCTGTACTGGCTCCGGGATGGCGAGAAGCGGCGCGCCGATCAGGAAGTGGCCCGGAGTCAGTGCTGTAATATCGTCTGGATCGTCAGAGAGTGCCTGTAATGGACGAGAATTTAAACAGGCCTCAATTTGTGTGGAGAGTGTCAGTTCCTCAAAGGTGAGAGTGGTTTCACCTATCACCCTCCGTAAGTGATACTTAGCGGATTTGACGGCTGCCTCCCACAATCCGCCGAAGTGCGGAGCTGCTGGTGGATTAAAGTGCCACCGTATGCCATGTTCAGCAGCTACGCGTGCGATTCCACGACCCTCTGTGGATGCAGCGACGAAGAGTTCCCGTAAAGTGCGGTCAGCCCCGATGAAGGTCGTTCCACAGTCGCTATATATGTCCGTACAGAGACCTCGACGTGAGATAAAGCGACGTAAAGCGGCGATGAAGGCCTCTGAAGAGTAATCCGAGACAAGTTCGAGGTGGATGGCTCTGGACCAAAAACAGATGAATACTGCGATATAGCCCTTATAGGCGCGGTGTCCTCGTCCCTTGCTCGTCCGGATGAGGATGGGTCCTGCATAGTCCACTCCAGTGCGCAGAAATGGCCGAGTCGGAGTGACCCGATCGCGGGGTAGATTACCCATCGGTGGCTGCAGCGTCGTTGCTCGCCATCTTGTGCAGGTGACGCAGCGATGTAGTTGCTGTTTCACAACTGTGCGTCCTCGTGGAATCCAGAAGCGCAGTCGAAGCAGCCCCAGGGTAAGTTGCACTCCGCCATGCAGCGTCCGACGGTGACAGGATTCCACCAGCAGACGAGTCAGCCACGACGAGGTTGGAATGATCATCGGGTGCCTCTCATCTTGTGTCAGCAGGGCGTGCTTAAGCCGACCTCCCACTCTCAGAACACCATGGTCGTCGAGGAACGGAGTCAGCTTGACTAATGTGCTGCGTGGTGCGACGGAGCGTCCAGCTGCGACTGCGGTGATCTCGTCCGTGAAGTGCAGTGTCTGCACTTCTCGAAGCCAACGAAAGAGTGCCATGTCGAGTTCCTCAGAACTCAACGTTAGTCCAGCGGTGTGAGTCGGCTCAGAAGCGCGCAGCCAGCGACGGCACCATGCGGATATCCGTAGCAGGCGATGCAGAGATGAGAAGCGGAGCAGGATTTCTGGCTCGACGATGACCCGGTTGACAGTCATCAGGCTCGTGGCTTTCCTTTCTGGCACGTCGTCTCCTCGGATCTCCATCACGGAATTTGGCCAGGCCGATTCGTGCTGTGACAACCAGGTAGGTCCTGTCCACCATAAAGCGTGATTGATTAGTTCGCTTGGATTAATACCCTTGATGCACAGTCCGCAGGGTTGTCGCGACCAGCTACGTGTCTCCATTGTGCATTAGGCAGCTGCGTCTGGATGTGAGCGACTCGATTGGCGACGAAAGTCTTCCAGCGTGAGGAGTGACCGCGAATCCATTGGAGGGTCACTGTTGAATCCGACCATAAGTACGTGTCTGATGTTGCCAGGTCGAGCGTTTGTTTGATATGTCGCGTCAAATTGGTGAGTAGCGTGGCGGCGCACAACTCCAGCCTCGGCAAGGTCACTTGTTTGACGGGTGCTACCTTGCTTTTGGCCATCAATAACCTTACTGACGTTTCGTTCCTTTCAGTGATGCGGATGTATACTGCGGCTGCATATCCTCGTTCGGATGCATCGGCGAAGCCATGAAGCTGCAGCGAGGTCTTATCTGCTCCGGTCCCGAGCCAGCGTTTTATTCGCACCTGATCTAGAAGATGGAGTTCTTCTAGAAGACGTTGCCACTCTCGAGCGTCGGATGGCGGCAGCGGGGTGTCCCAGTCCAATCCTTGCAGCCACGTGGATTGAATGAGAATTTTTGCTCGAATCACGACTGGAGCGAGCCACCCCATTGGATCGAAGAGCCGTGCGGTTTCGGATAAAACCGTTCTCTTCGTGTGGTTGATGGCAGCGTGCGGATGAAACACGAAGGAGAACTGGTCTTGTTGCGGGTGCCAGCGGAGTCCTAGCGTGGAGTGGCTCTCTCCAACCCAGGCTGGCGGCAATTGCTGCAAACGATGATCGCTTGGTACTCCAGTCAGGATCCTCTCGTCGTTGGCTGCCCACTTCTTCAACGGAAATCCGCCCGCCAAGCAGAGGTTGCGAATTTCCATCTGGAGTGCGATCGCATCGTTCAGCGTATTTGAGCCGGTGACCACATCGTCGACATAACAATCTCGACGCAGAGCTACGGCGCCACGAGGAAACTGCTCTTCTTCGTCCGTTGCGAGCTGACGGAGTGTCCGTATGGCGAGAAACGGAGCACACGCCAGACCGTAGGTGACCGTTCTCAGCTGGTACTCTCGCACTTCATCATCAGTTGAATGACGCCACAGGATCGTTTGGAATCTGCAGTCATCCGGATGCACGAGTATCTGCCGATACATTTTCTCTATATCAGCAACGAAGACATACTGGTGTTGACGCCATCGGAGTAGTACGTCAGAAGAGCTGGCAGAAGATTTGCTCCAGTCATGAGGTGTGCGTTTAAAGAGTCTCCAGTTCGCGTTCGCTGCGACCCATTGAACACGACCCTCAGCTTCGTCGTGGCATTGGACTCCTTGAGTACTCCATGATGTGGTAAGTACGTTGACTGATTGCTAGTTGTGGAGCATGTCACCAGCGTCATATGTTTCAGGTCTTCGTATTCTGTCATGAAGCTGCGATACAGATTGCCGAATCGAGGATCCTGGACGCATCGTCTCTCCATCGTTGTGAGAAGCCGCTCGGCTGGTTTGCGGGTTTCGCGGAGTGCAGTGATTGGTGAGGAAACGGCAGCTTCACCACGTATCGTCCTGAAGAGGTGCGAGTGTGCGTGTGCACGAAGAATTCCTCGCATTGCTGCTCTTCGGCGGAGAGTGTCGTGACTGCGTTGGGCTCCCGTTCCTGTTCCCAAAACTGCTGCACCAGCTCGAGTAGCTCGTGATCGGCAGTGCACTGGAATGTGCAACGGTGCTCTTCTGCGGATGCAACGTCGGAGCCTCCAGAGAGGATCCATCCTAGCGATGTCTTCTGCGCGATTGGCATCTGAGGTCCACCCTTGCGTAGACCCTCTTCAAGAATTAAGGAGCACACCTCCGCTCCCAGGAGTAGCTCGGCTGGATCGTTTTCGCGAAATTGAGGATCCGCCAGTTGGAGTCCTCGAATATGCGGCCAATCTTCTGGTGTGCTGGACGTGGAGCCTTGAAGAAGTGACAGGCGTGGCAGTATAAACGCTATCACGGAGAGCCGGGCGTTCGCGATGTCCGAAATGAGGTGCAGCGTGACCTTGCCACGCGTTGATCCTGGTCGTGCGCCTCCGATCCCAAAGATGGCCATGTCGGTGCGTGATCGAGGCAGGTTCAGTCGTTGCACCAGTGCTTCAGAAACGATCGACACCTCTGATCCCTGATCGATCAGTGCTCGGACGTCGTGCGGTGCTCCATGGCGATCGGCTACGTTCACCCGAGCAGTGGCGAGCACTGGATGTGATGTTAGGAGCGCCCATCTTCTTCAGGTATTCGACCGAGCGTGAGATTCGAACTTGGATCTCACGCTGACTATCTAACAATATAGCGGCATCCATGATGTGACACTTACTGTATTTCTTTTTCAGGCACTTCACTCTCGTCTCATGGTCTTGCTACATGTTCACACGCCTGCCGGGGCGCGACCCGACCTGATTAAATGAGATCCGTCTCTGAAGGACCAAAAATATGTATTTGCGCCCTTCACGAACGCGTTGAAGGCATCCCGAGTTCGCGCGTAATCTCGGAAGGGCCGAAAGAAATTTTATTCATCCTTTTAATTTAATTATACACAGGAAGTACTTTCACTAATTTAACCGATACATGATTTTAAAAAGTTCCAATAGATAAGTCGAGTTCGATTCCAAGTGAGTTGCCGATTTTGACGCAGGGAAATAACGAGGTTTGTATCGAGATTCAATAGTTGCGTGGTGTAAAAAATTGCGGGTAATAATTGCGGTAATAATTGCGGTGGTAATTGCGGTAATAATTGCGGTACTGAGACTCGAGGGACTAGCCGCCCCAATTTTGGTGGGCGCTTCTTTTATCGGTGCGGTACTGAAGCCCCACTAATTTTTCCTTCACCAATTATTTCGGTTATTTAAAATGTTCGAAGGTGACGCAAGGGCGCCTGTCTTTATTGGCGGCCCCGTAATTTACGCGACACAAGCACGCACCTGACATGCGCGAAATGCTCGATAGCGAGATCGATTGGCTTTCGGAAGCCACGTGATCGAACGGCGCATGTCTATTACATCGATAATCAATGCAGTGATCGTTGCTTTCGGTTAAGCAATGTTGTTGTTATTGACAGCTTGTTAAAATAATCCTGATTTATTGCCTACTTGTTTATATCGGGCGAGCCTTTTTTCCGCGGTTTTTTCGCATATTCATCGGAAGAAAATATCGATTTTTTAGACAGAAAAATACAGACTGAAATAATTATATTAATTTCTTCTCAATTTCGAACATGGTCAAAAAAGACCCTACTAGAAAATTGATAAACAGTCTTCATGACTTGTTAGTTTGTTGGAAAATTTTAAGTTTATTTCAACTAATGAATACAGACTTTTGTTGTTTACTGATGGAACTCTCCCCAAGGCATATGGCTTGCCTAAAGTCCATAAGAAAACTGTCCGTTCAGATTAATAGTGTCATAGGTTGACACTACTCTGTATAACTTGGCGACTTTCGTGCACAAGATTATAGTTAAAAGCCTCCCAGTGCCTGAAGGTCGTGTTGACAACGGTTTCGAACTAGTGAAAAAATTGTCACAGATTCACATTGATAATGAATTTAAATTAATCTCGTTAGATGTTGTCTCGCTATTCACTAACGTCCCTATTGATTAGGCTCTTGAAAGTATTTCCTCTACATGGGAATTTATTTCAAAGAATTGTGACTTATCAAAATCAGAATTTTAAATGGAATAGGCTTAGTAGTTTAAATTCTACCTTTTTTATTTTAATAACGTTATCTACCGCCAAACCTTTGGAACGCCCATGGGTTCTCCTCTCTCATCAGTGATTGCAGATCTAGTTTTACAAGATCTTGAGAATAAATCATTACAATTGTTAAAATTCACACCCCCGATTACTTTAGATATGTTGACGACATTGTATTGACTGTTCCATTGACTTTAATTGACCACACACTTATGATTTTTAATTCTTATCATAATAGACTCCAATTCACTCTGGAAACTGACGATAATAATAAAATAAACTTTTTAGATTTGACATTAATTTTAGAAAACAACAAGATAATTACTGATTGGTATCACAAGCCGACATTCTCGGGGAGATATTACATTTCTTGTCTCAGCATCCATTTTGTCAAAAGCGGGGAAAATATACGGTCTAGTGGATAGAACAATTTATTGTCACATCCACGATTTATTATAAGAATCTCGTTACCGTTGTCAACATACTTTTAGAGAAACTGTATCCGCTTGTGTGTGACTTGATTTTAATACTATTAACCAACGTCTAGTAGTTTTTATTTAAAAAATTAAAAAATACCACAATAATAATAATAATAGTAAAAAAACGTCTTTTTTAAAAGACATTTTTTCACTATACCGTTTTTACCGGTTTGACGGAACAATTTAGAAATATTATTAGGAACATGAATTTTAAATTATTATTTTTAAATTTTAATAAATTAAATAAATATATACGAGTACATAAAGATACTATTTCTAAAATGAATAATACCAACATAGTTAAATGTTTCACATTATATCATGTCACATTTAAGATCAGAAATTAAGTTTCTATATAAAAAGTTGTGTTTTAGCACTTGATAAGGGCCGAAACCCATGCCGAAACGTCGTAAATATTAATAAAGATTATTAAATACCAGAGTTGGTTGATTAAATTACTACCATTTTTAATATCATCTGGTGACTTCAGAGATTTTTCATCTTGAATAATACCAACGTTGTTTACAAAATTAATTGTTCAAACTGCGACGCTTCTTACGTGGGCCAGACTAATAGAAGACTGACCACAGAATTTCTGAACATAAGAAACACATAGTTAGAAATATTAATACTAAATCAGTAATAACGGACCACCGCGTTAATTTTAATCATGAATTTGATTGGAAGAAGAACATTAATATTTTAGATAAAGAAATATATTACGGAAAAAGATCAGTATCAGAAATGATATACATAAAAAGACAAAATAATAGTCTCAATCTACAGACTAATACTGAAAATCTATCTGATATTTATATCGAAGCTATAGAGAGACTACCTAAATTCTAAGATTAAATAACAAATACAAAATGATTATAATTGTTTTAACTTTTCGTTCCAACTGAGCTTCAGTTTCCTCTGAGCCGTTCTACTGACATGAGGATACACTAGCGTCACTTTTGTTACTGTTACAATTAAAATATTGTCACATCATAAATATATGTAAGTTTTTATTAGCATTTTTTTATACCATGTGTTAGATTATTGTTTTATAACGCACTTGATTTTGGATATTATAATTAGTGAGGTGTAATGAGAAAATTATTTTATTTTATAGGATGCGATTAATATTTTATATTTTAACACCTGCCAACCTCGTAGTCAGAAAACTAGAGAAGATCGCTTCTCACAGTAACGTAAATGTGATGGCTCAGTGAGAGTCATATTAATGTTAATCTTACGACGTTTTATTTCGTTTACTGATGATGTAACCGCGTTTAATATGTTTATTAGACGTTTATACGTTAAAAATATTTAGACTTTGGTGATTTTAATTTTGCTTTTTGTACTGCGCTGAAGAAGATCCGAAAATTGGATCGAAACGTTCGCTTACTCATTTTTTTAACTTTCGAGTTTATTTTTATAATTTTAGATTAATTTAAACTTTATTGTTTATATCAGTACATATTGATTAAATGTAATAATACTAGTTTTTATAACCGTGATATTTATTTTGCTCTTATTAGCTTTTTATATGTGTAATATCTTATATTTACTACAAAAAAATATTCTCAGAATACTATAAGATATTTTCAGTATGTACTGAGAAGCAAACTAGTGAGACATAGGAACTTTCTCAGTATATACTTGATATCGTAGTACATATTTCGAATATTTTTAGAATATACTCAATATAATTTTAACGATATTCTCAGAACTTTTCTAATCTACATGTGCTGTGTGGGGAGGAGGAAGGAGTGAACGGTAAAAAAAGAAAAGAAAGAAGTGGTAGCTTAGAAAGT